GCTGCTCCGGCACTCAGCCCCCCCCCCACGCCGTCCTGTACCCACCGTGTCTGCTCCCTTCCGCCACTCACCGGCGCCAGCTTGCCAGTCAGCAGCAGCAGCAGCGTGCTCTTCCCCACGCCGTTGGGGCCCACGATGCAGACTGCAGGCAAGGACAGGGTCAGACGGAAGCCTGGGCCCCAGCTCCCGCCCGCACCAGCCCCTGAACCCCACCCACTCCTCGAGTCCATGTCGATGCCGAAGTCCAGGTTCTTGAAGAGTGCTTTCTGCCCTTCGTAGCCGAAGGTCACACCTGCGAGAACAGGGCGAACCAGTCACCACCCCCTCTTCTGCTCAGCCAGTGGGGGCCCCCTCGCCTCCCTCCCCATGGGACTCACCGTGCAGGCCTAGCACCGGGGGGCTGAGCGGTGGGGGGTCAGGAAAGGTGAAGCGCACAGTGTACTCCCTGGGCCGCTTCAGCAGCTCAGGCACCTCAGGTGCCTCCTCAGCCTGGTTCTTCCGCCGGCATTTCTGCTGCTTGCGAGTCAGGGCTTCCTTTGTCTGCTTTTCCTGGTGAGGAAGGAGAGAGATCCACGTGTGGCCCCAGTCCCACGTGCCCCTGAGCCCGTGGCCAGTGGTGCGGCCCTCACCGCCTGCTTGGTGGACTTGCCACCGGCCTTCAGCTCCTTCAGCTTCTTTTCCTGCTTCTCATACTGCTTCAGCAGCTCCTTCTGCTTCTGCTGGTACATCTTCTTGAAGGTCACTGCAGCGGGGGCAGGGCCTCAGAGCCGCCCTGCGCCAGGAGGGGGGGTGGGCACCGCCTGCACCCTGGGAGCCCACTCCCCTGGCTTACTGTAGTTGCCCCGGTAGTAGTGCAGCCGCTGGGCGTCCAGGTGGATGATGTCCGTACACACGTCATCCAGGAAGCCCTGGTCATGCGAGACGATCAGCAGCGTCTTCCGCCAGCCCTGGAGGTAGCTGGGTTTAGGAGAATGCAGAAGGGTCATGATGGGGAGATGGGAGACAAGGGTGGCTCTGGGTGAAATGCGGAGCACGACACAGCCTGGCGAGGGCACGCACTTATTGAGCCAGATGACAGCGTTGAGGTCCAGGTGGTTGGTGGGCTCGTCCAGCATCAGCAGCGTGGGCTCCATGAACAGTGCCCTGCAGGGGAGTGGCATGCACGATTGGGGGCATGGCTGGCCACAGCCAGGAGGGCACTCCCTCAGACACCTCAGTGGAGGCCTGGGGCAGGGGGCACTGGCAGAACATGGGTGGGGAGGAAGACACCTCAGGTTCTCAGAACCTCTGGTGGGGGAGAAGCCAGCCTTGGAGGGCAGGGCGCACCTGGCCAGGGAGACGCGCATACGCCAGCCCCCAGAGAACTTCTGTGTGGGCCGATTCTGCATCTCAGGGTCAAAGCCCAGGCCAGCCAGGATCCGCCTTGCCTTGGCCTCTGCCGCTGCCGCCCCTGTGGCCCGCAGTTCCTCATATACCTGGAGGAGGGAAGAGGCCACAGCATGTGTGAGGGCCAGGGACTGAGCCTTGGTGCGCCCCGTCCCACAGCCGTACCTTCTCCAGCCTCTCAGCAGCCGAGTCATCCCCCTGCTCCAGCTGTGCTTGCAGCCGGTGCTCCTCTTCCAGCAGCTGCAGCCGCTTGGTGTCAGCCCGAAGTACGGCCTGCACTGCAGGAGTCTCATCCGCGACCACCTCTGGGGCAGGGAACAGTCCAGAAGTGCCCGGCCCAGCTGCCTTCCTGCCTCCCTCAGGCGCCCTCCGGGCTGCCAACCTTAGCACTGCCGCACCCTCCACTCCCAGTGCCATGTCCGGTCAGGTCCCAGCCCTGCCTCCCAGGCTCACCCTGTTCACAGAGCAGCACATCAATGTTGGGGGGGATGCTCAGGGCGCGGTTGGCAATGTGCTTGAGAAGCGTGGTCTTGCCCTTGCTGGGAAGAGAGCGGTGAGCCCGGCCTCCCTCCACAGGCCCTTCCACCAGCCCTGTGCCTGTGCCTGTGCCCACGTCCTCACCCGTTGGGGCCCACCAGCCCATAGCGGCGGCCGGCTACGATGAAGAGGTCGGCATTGACGAACAACTCCTTGCCATGGGCTGAGATGCTGAACTTCTCCAGCTGCAGCCAGCGTGCAGGAAAGGAAAGGAAAGGGAAAGGGAAAGGGAAAGGGAAAGGGAAAGGGAAAGGGAAAGGGAAAGGGAAAGGGAAAGGGCAGCGTAAGAAGCTTCCTTCCGCTCAGGAAAGGCAGGGCCAGCTCCCCGGCGTCACCTTGATGTCAGATGCGTTTTCCAGCATGGCTTGGCGGGAGGACACTTCTGCCTGGGACACGGAGAAGTCATTTTCGGCGGCATTAGCTGCTTTTAATGAAGCCACCTGGCGCTCATAATCCATCTGAAAAGACAAACCTACATTTGAGACTGTCTCTCCTCACGACACAAGCCCATGTCACTGGACAATGACCAGGCTCCAAGCAATCGATCCAAGCAGCACTCGAGGTTCTTTTCCAGTCCCCGAACAGCAAGTGCCTCAGTCAAAGCAGAAACAAGTCAAAGCCCCTCCCCTAACCAATGAGAAGCATCAACTTACCTGTTTCTTTAGCTTTTTCTTCTCCTTTTTGCTCAGGTGAGCATAGGGATCATCCACCTTACTCTCGCCCTCCTCATCTTCTTCCTCGGAACCCTGCAAGATGAGGGGACAATGAAGAACAGAGCAGAGGATGGGCCCTTCCAGGACTCAAATTCCCATCATCCCAGTCCCACAGCCAGTGCCACCCAGTACTGTGCCGCTGGCCTTTGTCTCGTGCCAGCTGTCATGCTGGGGCTCTGTGGTCCTTTATCAAATTCTGCCTCATAGGGCCAGGGAGATGGCTCAGTGGAATAAGTGCAACCCTGGCAAGCGCAAGGGCCTGAGTTCAATCCTCGGTTCCGCAAAAATAAACAAATAAAATAAAAATTCTGCCTCGCAGACAGTATGACTCTGGGGAAAGGAAGCCCAACAGCTCCCAAGATGGGGTAACCAAAGCGGACACAAGTTTCCTTGTATCAAGGAAGGCTCTGTGATGTACATGGGGATATGCAATGAGAATGGCAGGCAGCCCCATCGGTCTCTGCAACTGAGAAACCAGAACTAGGGAGATGGATGGGACCAGCAGAGCAGAGGCCCAAGGCAGGGAGAGGTGCCCACAGTCAGACAGGACTCGGCTGTGGAGACCAATTGCATGCAGGGCCTTTCCTCTCAGGACCAGGCTCTGCCACAAACAGCCATGAGAAAAAGCTGCTCTTTACATTTTCAACAGTGTTAAAAATGGGAGGACCATGCAGAGATAAGCTCTGTGGGACCAGATTGCTAAGACCCTCCCAGGCTGGTGCTCCAGGGCCTTGGAGCCCAACACTCGCCCCCTCCCCACAGCAACACATACCTGCTCAGCCGTTTCCCTTCCCTGCTTGGGAGGCTCCTTTTCTTTTGTTATTTCCTCCTCATCTTCTCCATCTTCCTTTTCATTGTCCAGAACAGCAAATTTATTTTGAGGCTAACAGAAAAAAGACAGGCCTGATGGCTGCTCCAGCTCCTGCCCCAGGACCTGCTCCTCCGGCCACTCTCTTACCTTGGGCTTCCCTTTTGACTTCTCTTCCTTTCCCTTTTTGCCTTTGAGCCCAGGCTGCTGTTCCTCAGATACGGCCTGCAAGACACGATACACAGACACGTGTATGCCTTGCCCCTGCCAGACATGAGACTGGGAAGGCAGAGGTGGGCAGCAGAGCAGAGCCAGGGGCAGTGTGGACAGCGTGCAGGCTGGACACCCGGTGCTGGGGCGAGCAATGGAATTGTTAGCTGAGAACAGAGAGCTCCCCGTGGATGTGTCCACAGCGACTCAAGCTGTGCCCAGGCTGCCGAGGGCTGCGCAAGGTCCCACGCGCAAGGTGGGACTGAGGCCTTGGCTTCCGATTCCAAGATCAAGCAACACAACCAATCGCTGTGGGCAACTCGTTATAAACAGAGCTTTGGGGCCGGGGAGATGGCTCAGTAGAATAAGCGCTTCCCTAGCAAGTGCAAGGGCCTGAGTTCAATCCCTGGCTCTACAAAAAAAAAACAGGGCTTTGCAGAGAGCAGTGTGACATTGCACTAGGGCAAAGCCAGAGGGGTAGGAGAGAGCAGGACACTGCCACGCCTGCCAGGAGGCTGAGCAGCTGGGAGGGAGCGGCAGGGCCTCTGCTGTCACCTTATTGATCCGGTTCTTCTCTGGCTTGGCAGGCTTGGGAGGGTGTTTTTCTTCCTCCTCTTCTTCCTCCTCACTCTGGTCCTGAATCAGGGCTGCAAACGCATTACTGCCCTAGAGCAGGACACAAAGCTCAGTGGGGCCCCACTGCACATGGGGGCCCCCGCTCCCCAACAACTCACCTTGGCTTTCTTTCCTCCTCCTCGGGGCGCTGGGGCTGGCACTGGGGGAGGAGGAAGGAGATGGGGCCTGTGAGAAGCCAGAGGCTCTGTGTGGCCCCCACAGCACCAGCTGGGCCCGCAGCCCACTCACCTTCCTCCTCCTCATCACTGGCAGGCACCGAGAGCTTCTGAAGGCGCTCCATGAGCTCCTGCTCCTCACTGTCATCATCCACATCCTTCTTCCGCCGGCCCTTCCGGGTGTCCCGCTTCTTCTTTTGCTGCTGAAAGAGAAAATGTGTGGGGACCGAGGCCTGGCTGCACCGAGCCCACCCCGAGTCCCCAGACCGAGTGGGCCATGCAGGCTGTGGGGCCAGCACTGGCATCACTTGTACCTGCGGCTGTGGCTGCTCCTGCTTCTCCCTGAGCACCTTTCCCTCCTCGCCAGCCTGCTTACCATCCACCGCCAGCTCCTCAAAGAACTGCAAAGGGCCAGACACAGAAGCGCAAGGACCATCAAGCACCCCTGTGGTGCCCCATCCGCCACACTGCAGAGCGGGGTCTCGGGCACTGTCAGGGCCGAGAGGACTCTGCCGCCTCCCGCACGGCCCAGGCCACCCAGCCCTGCCCCTCTGTGAGGCCCTCCAAGCTGCCCTCAGCTCTCCCACCTCCTGTGCATGCTCATTTGGTTTACACAGAAGACCCAGTCAGTTCTCATCTGGAACCTTAGTTTCCTCACCGTCTTTTTGGTCTTCTTGTCTTTCTTCCCTTTCTTCACCACCTTCTCTGCAAGGCAAAGGAAGCACAACAAATTCTTATCTCTAAATTCCCAAGCCGCCTGAGGCCTGAGCTCCCTTCGGAGCTCACAGGCCTCTCCAGACTCTGCTATCTTCCTAACCCGGTCACCTCCCCCATCCGCGCTCCCGCAGAACACCGCCGCCAAGCAGTTCCAAGTGTGCTGAAGGCTCCCCAGAAAGCACAGGCTAAATAAAGGCTGGGCATGGAGCCTGGAACCCCAGCACCAGGGCGCTGAGGCGGGAGGATCATGAGTTGGAGACCAGTCTGGACTACACAGTGAAAAAACAAAATAAAACACAGAAGGGAAGATAAAGCCTGCTGGTGGGGTGAGGAGGGGCTGGCCCCACCCCAAGGCGCCAGCCTTCCTGTGAAGGTGGCATTCAAGCCAGGGCAGGAGGAATGAAAGCTGGCACCAGGCATCTGGTGCCACACACAGGCCAGCTGTGGGAAGTGCAGCCGCTGGGAACAGAGCTTCTGCCTGAGAGAGAATGGGGCCAGGAGAGGCGTGGCGAGGGCTGCTGCTGGATCCAGGATGGCACCGGTCACTCTGCACTCATGGCTGAACCTCTGGTGGAGCTAGGGCTTGGGGGAGGGCGGGGCCACAGCGACAGTGCAGTCTGGCCAGGGAAGCAGGATGCTCAGGGTGGAGGCAGAGGCCAGGATGGCAACGAGGAGCGGCTGCCACTGCTACGTTTAACTAATAAAATGGGTTGGCTGGTGGCTGCATTTGTAGGTCAGGAGATTACAGGAAAGAAGGGAGGAAGAATTTATGGATTCAATCTGGGGTATGTCCAGCTACCCAGGAAGCAAATGGGCAGGTGCCCTGCTGCACCGTACCTCACCATCCTTGGCTGCGGAAGTGTAGCACCAAGGAACAAAATAAGGTAAGGACAGCCAAAGCCACAGTATGGCCAGGGGTGGTGGCATATGCCCAGAACTCCAGCACTCTGATAGACTCAGGCAGGACTGAAAGTTCAAGCCCCACCCAGGCAATTCAGCAAACTCCTGTGCCAGACGGGTGGGCACTGGGGAGGCAGCTCAGTGTGAGGGCTCCGGCCTGGTACTGAGAAAGAAGGGTGCAAACAGCTGCACTGGCCTTTACGCACCACTTAAGCTGCCCCAAGCACCACCACAAGACACTCATCTCCAGTCCCATGTCCTGCCTTCTCTGAGCCTCACAATGTAGCTCGCACTAGCAATACTTCCTCATCTTCCATTCCTTTTTTTCCCTTTTTTCTTTCCTTTTCTTTTCATGGGGCTTGGGATGGAAACCAGGATTTGTGAGTGCTATTCAAGAGCTCCACCGCCAAGCTACCCCACCAGCTCCCCTCCTTCCTGAACACACAGGCTGACTTTTTTTTTGGTGGAACTGGAGATTGGACTCAGACTCTTGCACTTGTCAGGGAAGCACTTACTCCACTGAGCCATCTCCCCAGCCCCACAGGCAGACTTTTCTAAATTAGTCTGAGATCTGAGTCAGTTTAATGTCACAAGTAGAAACCCCACATCAAGAAACTTTGTCTCCTGCAAACTCATTGAGGGTAGTTACCTCAGGCTCTGGTGCTCCAGAGCCCTGCCCTGCATCCCAGATGTAGTGTCCATTTGTTTTAACTTTTATCCTACTTGCCCCCAGCTAACTTTACAAAGCCAATCCCCCCTTTTTACTTTTTTTTTTTTTTTTTTTTTTTTGGCAGAACCGGGGATTGAACGCAGACCCTTGCACTTGCCAGGGAAGTGCTTATTCCACTGTGCCATCTCCCCGGCCCCCCCTTTTCACTTTTGACTTTCTCAAAAAAGTCAGTCATTGCTTTTCTTTTCTTTTCTTTTCTTTTTTTTTTTGAGACAGGATCTCAGTGCATAGCTCAGGCTGGGCTTGAATGCTATGTATCCCAGGCTGGCCTCTAACTTGCGACAATCCTCCCCCCTCAGCCTACCAGGGGCCATCATGCCTGCTCCACTGATTTTTTTTTCTTTGTCTTTTTGAGACAGGTTCTCACTATGCTATTCAGGCTGGCTTTGAGTTCACTTTGTAACCCAGGCTGGCCTCAAACTTGCAATGATCCTCCTGACCAGTGCTTTTTGAGAAAAGAAAAAAAAAAAAAAAAGAAGAAAATTACCTTCAAGCTATGTTTATATAAACATAAATTTCACCTTCAGACCTGGGTCCTAGCGCCAAGACAGCTCATATCCAAATATCTACAATCCAAAATCCTTCTGGTCCTGAGCATTTGGGGTAAGAGGCACTCCACCTATGCTGGGATCTGATGTGGCTGATGCCCCTCCTAAAGAAAAGTATCTCCTCAGTCCTGGCTGTGCTTGGCCCCTCTGAGGGGCTCCTGTCAGCTCTCCCAACTCCTCTGCATCCTTCCCTCCTGGCATTGCTTCATTACCTCACTTCCAGCACCTGCTTGCTCCTCGCTTGCCCCCACTTTCTCCACTCTCCTTTCCCACGCTTGCTCCCTCTGGACTGCTGACCCCAGAGCAGCTCTGCCGCCTCTGCAGCTGGACCTCCTGGTGCGGGGTCTGCACGGCCCCTCCCCGGCACTCAAAGGCCAGGCCTTTGTCTTCTCAGCCCTTAGCCCAGGACAGCTCTCTAGGCAGTCAAGCACCCTCAGGCTAAGAGTCCATCCATGCCACTTCCCGAGTGACACTTAGTTTTCACTGTCTGGGCTCACTCCCTTAGGACAGTGGTAGGAATCCCATGGTACACGTGCTGCTAAAAGCCCTAGGAAAGTTCGCCATCACTGCCTTAGGATCATGCCAGTCTTCTTCTTCTTCTTCTTTTTTTTTTTTTTTCCGGAACCAGGGATTGAACTCAGGCCCTTGCACTTGCCGGGGAAGCGCTTATCCCACTGAGCCATCTCCCCGGCCCCATGGCCAGTCCTCTACAGCCCGCCTGACCCCACCCCACACTGCTTAGTGTCAGAAATGCGGCGCTCATGGTTTGGTTTTCACGTGGCCTCTGATGGGCTCTCCTGATAGTGGGGACTAGCCGGCTCACCCACACTGCCATCTCCGCAAGACCCACTTCTCCGAGCTCACGCTGACCCTTCAAGGAGGAACGCACCTGTAGGCTGCGTGCTCCTGGGAGAGTCTGCTGATGCTGCTTTTTTTCTTACTGGGGATATCCGTCCTGCTGTAGAGTCTAGGGCACGAGTACCACACCCATCATTTAAAAAAGTTTACTGCTCTATCTTTTCCTTTTGTTGTTGTTGTTTTGATTTTTTAAAGACGGGGTCTTGCTCTGTTGCCCAGGTTGCTCTTCATTGGGCTTAGTCGACCCTCCTGCTTTAGCTTCCCAAGTGGCCGGGACGTTGCTTCTGCCAAAATGCTTGAACCTAGGGCTGCCCTGCCACTGAGCTACCTCCTCAGCCCCTTCACCTTTCACTTTGGAGGCAGTCTTGCTAGGTCACTATCCTGGCAGGGACAGCTCAGACTTCTACCTTGGACTGCCTCAGTGCTGACATTACAGGTACAGCTTCATCCCCAGTTCCTCTGCACAGCACCCAGCATACACTAGGCACCCAATAAATGCTTACGTTAGTCACTGTGTAAGGCAGTTATTTGTGTCCATATTACCTACCTTTGAAGTGACTTCAGGCTTCCGAGGAAGTCTTCCTATTGCTTTCTTTCCACTCCCAAGACACTATAAAGCACTCCACTTAAAACAAGTGCTCAAGCCGGGCGTGGTGGCGCACACCTGTAATCCTAGCACTCGGGAGGCTGAGGCAGGAGGATAACCTTGAGTTCAAAGCCAGCCTAACCTACATAGCCACCCAGCGCCTGGAGCAGGCTAGACAGCGCGTCCCACGGAGCTACCCCAGCCTGTAAGGAAGCCCTGGCCCCCAACCTGACTTCCAAATTCTACACTTGATACGGTTGAGTCAAACGGGGTGACGTATGAAAAACCACGCGCGAAGTCATCCTCTCTCGAGAACAAGTGGCACCAAGGGCTTCCCAGGTGCGCGCGAGCGAGGGGTAGGTCGAGGCGGGGCTCCAGGCGCGTTCCCGTGTGTGGCACGCGGGAAGATGTCCAGAGGAGGAGGGACCACGGCCCGCTCGGCGCCGCGGCCCGCTCAGCCGGCCGGCTCCCGCACAGCGCACATGCGCAGCCACCCCGCGGTCAGGGCGGTCCCGCGCGTGACGTCCGGGTCGCGCGGACTCTCCCGTCCCTTCCTTTCCCGCGTCCTCCCGGCCACCACACTCACCTGCAGGGCTGGTGCTCTCTCCGTCGCCGATCCACTCTGGCTCGGGTGGCTGCTGCCTGGGCGCCTTCGGCATCGCGACAGCAGTTACTGCCCCTCCGGCGGAGACCGGCGCTATTTCCGCTTCCGGCAGCGTGTTTTCCCAGGGGGCGGGCTCTCCTGGCCGCCCCGCCCCCAGCGCCCACGTGCGCTCCCGGCCACTCGGGGCGGGGCCTCAAGGGGCGGGGCCTCGAGGGGGCGGGCCTCGAGGGGGCGGGGTCTCGAGGGGCGGGGCCAGAAAAAGCTCCCCTTTTCCAAAATACTGTGGCTGAGCCTGTGACCCTCGAGGAATTTGTATACTAATTTCCATATAGTAGGAAGCTGCTGAGCTTTTTTTTTTTTTTTAATTTATAGTCTCACTATGTAGATCAGACTCATAGTGATCCCTCTGTTTTTAGACTCCCAAGAGGCAGGATTGGGGCTGGTGAGATGGCTCAGTGGTCTAAAGCACCTACTTAGAACAAGCTTAGCAAAGCACAGGGACCTCGGTTCAATCCCCCAGCACCACACGCCTGCCAGTCCCGCCCCCTGGTGGGCTGAGCTGGCCACATATATACACACACACACACACACATAAATAAATAAAATGTTTTTTAAAAGATTTAAAAAATAAACATTAAAAAATATATAAGTAGATACTGCTTCTGCCATTTTTTTTTGCTATGAGACTCGAACTCAGGATCTTGCACATGCCATGCCATCTCATGACTAACAAAGGGTAGAAAAAACAGTTCAGTCCAACAAAGAGAATGCCACCTGTCTGTCCAGTGACCACCTGTGTCACAAAGTCCCCAAGTGTACAGCACTCCCCCCGAGTATTCACAATACAGAAGACAGCGAACTGAAAAGCGTGCAGTTTGATAAGTGTCAGTGTGTGCTCCTGAAACCAGTCACGGGCCAGCGAGATAGCTCAGGGGTCTAAAGCGCCTGCTCAGGCAAGCTCAGGCAGAGCACCAGGATCCTGGGCACCGCGTGCTGCGCCAGCGGTGGGCCGGCCACACAAAAGAAACCAGTCAAGCTGTGGCTTCAGTCCTAACTCTGCCACTTAACAGGTGTGGACTCGGGCAGCCCTGTAATCCTGGCACTCAGGAGGCCGAGGCGGGAGCTCCAGTTCCATACTTCACTTTTCACAGGTCCAGACAATTTAATCAGGGAAAGCCCATTCAGTCTGAATTTCGGTGTGCTGCCGTAGGACTGGCCTGTACTTGCTGGATTCAGCAATATCAGGATAAAAACCCAAACACTAAACCTGAGGAGAACTGGTGTGGCTGGCACACCACTCACCCTTCGGGTTGTTGAGCCACTTGCAGAGGAATGCCCGGACAATACTGTAGATGTTTTTCACCAGTATTGCTCTTCTTCTTCTTTTTTTTTTTTTTTTTTTTTTTTTTTTTTGGCGGAACCAGAGATTGAACTCAGGCCCTTGCGCTTGCCAGGCAAGCGCTTATTTTACTGAGCTAACTCCCCAGCCTAGTATTGCTCTTCTGGACAACCTCAGTTCAATGCGACATCAGCCAGCAGTTTCGGTGAGAAAGGATCACGTTAACAAGGCACATTTGGCACGAAGTGTAGCTCTAGAGAAGAAAGAGGCACGTTCAACTGGGAAGCTGACGGCAAAGGCAGTGTTGTCTGCGGAAGGAATGGTGGTGTGGTCAGTCTCCTCAGCTGGTGCTGCGACCTTTCCCTTGAGTCTTGTCAATGATTATTCTCAGAAACTGAAAAAAAAAGATCCACACCCGCCAGCCAAACCCGATGACAGTAATCAGCAGTCCTGGGTGGGGGAGATGGCGCTGTTGGAAGCACCAGTGAGTACTGGCATCAATCCCCAGAGACAAATGCCTTTACGCCCTCTTTTGTTCTGTTGCGAATTTGTCTCACAGGTGCTTGGCAACTGCATGAAGCCATGATGAACAGCTGGTGGGTTTTCCGGAGTTTCACTGATGTGTAGCTGGGCATTATTAGGACACCAGGGTCACCTTCCAGAACCTGGCAAACAAGGAAGACCTGCACTCTGCTCTTGATGGTACAAGTCACGTGTTGGTCAAAAGGTTTGTGCCAAATGTCAGAAGAGCCACCGGAGGGGGAGAAGGAGGTGGGAGTGGAGGGGACAGTACTGGAAATAGAACTCAGGATTTTGTGCTTGCAAGGCAAGTGCTTATTCTCCTGAGCTATATCCCGGGCCCCAGCACCACTTGTCTACATATGACATGTGCCGCTGCTGAGACCAGGCATGTCGGCGCATCCCAGCGCTGCGCGGGCTGAAATCAGGAAGATCACTGCAAGGTTAAGCTGTGCAGTGAGACCCTGTACCAAATACATAATTAATTAATTAAAAATAAAAAGATGTGATGCTGCCTGCTGGTGTTCTGTTGAGTAACACGTGCAGCAGCGGGGCTCACTGCCACCAGAGAGGTGCGCTGTGCATGAGGCGGCGGCGGCAGCAGCAGCAGCAGGGCGTCTTCTGTCTGTGGATGCTGAGTAACTTGCCTCAGGGCAGAGAGGAGGCAGAGAGAAGAGGAGGGAGGAAGGGAAGGTGCTGGGGACAGGACCTACCCTCCACATGTGTGCCCCAGAGCTTCTTCCTCCTGCCCAGACCCAACTTGACAGCACACTGGGCTGTGAACTCATCATGGCTGGCCATAGCTGAGTTTTTTTTTTTTTTTTTGTGGAACCAGAGATTGAACTCAGGCCCTCGTGCTTGCCAGGGAAGCGCTTATTCCACTGAGCCATCTCCCAGCCGCCAGTTGAGGTTATTTAATCATCTCCCTAAAGGCTCACTTCTGAAAACATGAGCCTTGGGGTGACATTTTTTATCTAAGCCATGACATTCTACCCCTGGCTCAAAGGGACATGTCCATCTCATGCAAAATGCATTCAATCCATCTCTAAGTGTTATTAAAATCTCAACAGTTCCAGGGCCAGTCAAATAGCTCAGTGGGTTAAAGCACCTGCTTAGGCAGATGCAGGGGCTGGGGGTTCGATCCCCAGGCCTGCCTTGCTGGCCTCGCCCCAGGGGCGCGCTGAGATGGAGATTGAGAATGGGTGTGGTAGCACATGCCTGTAATTCCAGAACTTGGGAGGCTGTAGAAAGGAGGAGCACTAGGAGTCCATTCTACACAGTGAGACCCTGTACACCCTGTCCTAAGTTAAAAAAAAAACAACCCAACAGTTCTAGCATTTCTTGAAAACCCAAGTCCAAAGTCTCTTTTGAGACACAAGGCAATTCTTATCTGTAAAAATTAAAAAAGCAAAAAACATATTCCCAAGGTACAACAGCACAGAATAAATATTCTATTCCCAAAGGAAGGATCAGGGAAATAGAAAATGAACTAAAGTAGACTGAAACACAGCACGGCAGTCGGGCACGGTGGCGCACATCTCCAGTCCCAAGCACTGGGGGGGCAGAAACAGGAGGATCGCTACAAGCTCGAGCTGCATACTGAGGCCCTGTACCAAATACATAAAAAATAAAAGCATAATTAAAAAAATAAAGCAGCATGGCAAACATCAATTCCCTCAGCTGGTGTTCAACACCCAGGCACAGTGGTCGCATGCAGGCTCTGAGGGCCTGCGCAGCCCCATCTCTGAGGCCGGCTTTGTTTGCTGCTGGAAACCTTCCATAGCAGATGTCCCATGTTCCTGGCATGTCTAACGTCCAGAGGTCTTTCCTTCCACTTCATCTTCACTCTCAGAACTCATGCATAGCTCCTAGAGTCCCAATAGGAACGCTAGCTCTGACACCCTCTGCTGCTCATCCTGGTCTGTGTTTGAAATCAGGTGGAAATTTCAAACTTTGTTTGAAATCCCCCATGACACATTCTGCATACAGCAAAACCAGCATCCTGCTGAAGATGCCAAGGTCTCCTAGCCTCCTGGGGGTCGTTGGGCCCCCTCAGGCCCCAGCTGCAGTAGCTCCTGAGGACCTGGGTGGCTGAATGTGTGGAAACACCCTTTAGCTCATGCCAGGTAAGAGGGTTCTCTTCTCCAACCAAAGACTTTTAAACTATTTATTTATTATTTATTGTCATTTTGAGACAGGGTCTCGCCATACAGTTCAGGCTGGCCTTGAGTTCATCTTGTAGCTGAGAGGTTTTGGCCTGAGTACAAACTGCCAATTATGGCCCTGATTCAACGTGGCTGAGTTCCAAAAATAATAGCATATTTTCCCAGAAACCACCTCCTCCTTCCCCCCAACCCCAGCCCTGAATACAACTTCCTTTTACCTTCCCCACGCCACAAGGGAGACCCCAGTCTGCTCCTCAGGTGTCCCTGAACCTGCCTTTCAAGCTCCATCATTAGCGCAAGTCCACCAAATCTTGGCCTTCTTTGGTCTCAGGTCAGAGGATCCATGCCATCTCCCTGCAGTCTTCTCCATGACCTCAGAGCCAATGAAGGACCTCTCCCCACTTTATTTTATTTCTACTTCTCTGCCATACTGGAGAAAATCTAACAGCCCAGGCTGGTCTTGAACTTTCATCGGACTCCTAGGGATCTGCCTCAGCCTCCCAAGCACTGGGATTATAGGTGTGCACCACCATGCCCAGTCTCAATTGCCCCACGACTCCCAGGCTCAGTCGAAGTCTCAGCGGGCCCCAGAGGCGGAGCCCGCACAGCATGCTGCGGATTAAACGCAGGCTACTGTGCTCTGCCTAAGCAGGTGAGTCCGCTGGCCAGCACCCCCCCTTTTTTTTCCCAGTTTTTAAGAGGTCTTGCTCTGAAGTTCAGGTTGACCTTGAACTCACTTTGTAGCCCAGGATGGCCTCCAACTCACAGCATTCCTCCTGCCTCAGCCTCCCGAGTGCTGGGATTATAGGCCTGTGTCACCATGTCTGGCTTCAAAGACTTCTATACTTTTACTTTTCTGAACTTGCAATAGGTGGAGTATGGCCAATTCCTGAGATGTCATGAAAGCATCTTTCCTATTTTTCTTATTGCTCCAGTGCAAAGTATAAGTTTTTTTCTCTTTTTTCTTTTGTGGAGCCTGGGATTGAACTCAGGGCCTTGCACTTGCCAACGAAGTGCTTATTCTACTGAGCCATCTCCCTGGCCCCTTAGTTTTTATTTTGAGACAGGGTTTTGTTAAATTGCTATGTTGCCC